AAATGAATGAACGAATTAATGAATAAACGAACGAACGAACGAACGAATTAATGAATGAATGCATGAATGAATGAATGAACGAATTAACAAACAAACGACTGAACAAAAGAGCAAACAAAAAACAATCAAACAAATCGAACAAACGAACAAATGAATAAATGAACAAACAAACGAATGAATGAACAAATTAATGAATTAACAAATGAACAAACAAACAAACGAACGAATGAATGAATGAATGAATAAATGAATGAATGAATGAATGAATGAATGAATGAATGAATGAATGAATGAATGAATGAATGAATGCACAAATTAACAAACAAACAAAGAAAAGAACAAACAAAAAAAACAATTAAACTAAAAAAAAAAAACAAATTAATGAACACACAAACTTACTTGTGTATAATAATGACAATATACTGTACATAACACTGGGGCTCATATACACAGTCCATATATCCAATAGATCGACTCAGATTGTAAGAGTCTTATGTTAGAATCACTTATGCTAGTGCACACACACACAAACACACTCACACCTGGAGCAGCGAACAGGCATTTTGCTGTGGTGCTGGGTGAGCAATTGAGGGTACAGTTCCTTGCTCAAGGGCACCTCGGTCTTGTGTACTGCTGTACGCCCAACATGCTTTACAACCATACCAGGGGTCTCCTCTCACCCACCAACAATATTCAGCCACAGTACAAAGATGCCAGAGCACTGGCCACATACATGCTATAGCTGGAAAGGTGAAAAGGTGATAAAGCCAATTCAGGGAAAGGAGGATAATTTAAGGGGTCATGATTTATGTGTGCCAAGGGAGGGAATTTGGCCAGGACACCAGCATTACACCCCTAGTCTTTACAAGGAGAGCCATTTGATTTTTAATGACCACAGAGAGTCAGGACCTCAGTTTTATATTTTATCCAAATGACAGTGCTTTTTACAGTCTAGTGTCCCTGTTATTATACTGGGGCATTAAACTCGCACAGAATAAACACCCCTACACTGAAAAAAAAATGATGTCTGCAAAATTGTTGCAAACTATGTATATGTGTTTAATTTAAATAAACAAATTAAATGTAGTAACGTTCAACTTATTTATTTTTGTTTTATTTCAGCCCAAATAAATTGTTTACAACAATTAGTCCAAGGAATTATCTTTAAATTATTTTTTTTTTCAGTGCAATAGCCCACCTAACACTTTTCACATGAGCAATCTTCTTTTCCCATTTGGTCAGAAATACTGACCAGGCACAACCCTGATTAGCTTTAGTGGGATATGATATTTAAAGCATTACTTGCACACAAGTCAAGCAGTTTGAGTTGGTAAATGAAGCTTATTTTGCTAATCTAACACTGATCAAATATATAACCTCTGTGTAATAACTTTGCAAAAATTGGTGTGGAGTCCTGTTAGATTGACTGCATTTCATCAATGTATTCGCCAAAAAAAACTATGAAAGTAACTCTACAATTAATAAGTATACAATTTTAAAACAGCAAAGTTTTTTCCATTCTTCATTTACACTCTCAGAAAAAAAACAAAAAAAAAAACGTGATCTGTCACTTGGGTGGTACCTTTTCAAAAAGGTACAGATTTTTACATAAATGGTCTAAATTAATACCAAGGATACATATAAAAAGTACAAAAGTGTTCCTCTTAAAAATTTTTGATACTAATATGTACCCTTAAGGCAGGGGTGACCAACCCTGTTCCTGGAGATCGACCTTTCTGCAGATTTCAGTTATTAAACACACCTGCCTATAATTATCAAGTGCTGTTCAGGTCCTGATTAATTGATTCAGGTGTGCTTGATCAGGGTCGGAGCTGAAGTCTTTAGGAAGGTCGATCTCCAGGAGCAGGGTTGAGCACCCCTGCCTTAAGGTATTAATACCTTTCAGGTACAAATGTGTACCTTTTGAAAAGGCACCACCCCATTGACAGATCACAAACCTTTATTTCTGAGAGTGTAGGTGACATTTCTCAGTACTGGGTTGCAGCTGGAAAGGTATCCGCTATGTAAAACATACTGAAATAACTGGCGGTTCATTCCGCAGTCGTGACCCCTAAAATATAAAGTACTAAGTTGAAGGAAAATGAATGAATTAATGAATTTAGGTGACTTTTCTACTATAGTGCAGTTTCCAAAGGCACAATATGTAATTTTTGACAAAAAAGAAAGGTGTAAATTGACGAAGCCTTGACTGAGAGTGAATACATTAGAGTTGTAGTCTTCTTTACATCTTACATCAGGACTCCTGCAGATATCATCTTCATTATTAGCTAATGTATTCAACACTTATTATTATGGTGGAATAAAGCAGAGTAAGTGAAGAAGCAAAACTGCTGAAGCAATTGCTGATGTGAAATGAGCGAGACATCACGCGAAAGCAGCAGAGCTTTTATTATGTCACAGTCCACCAATTCTGGTTCTTCCACTCATGGAGAAGAAGCAGCACTGTTTACCATTATGTTTCACGCATATTTTAGGTTTATGATATAATTATACTATATTATAAGTTGTCTAATAAAATACACAACAAAATAAAGCATCTTTAGTGTCTCCCAGTTTACTATAAAACCAAACCAGAAATTCAAGGTGTGTGACGTCTTTAGCGTGAACACAGTCATTTTCAACACCTTGTAATCGCTTATTCCTCCAAAATTGAAAAGTCTTTAAAACATTAAGGATAATGCAAGTATGCAAGTCAGCAACATATATAATATTGTTCTAGTGGTTTTGGATATTTTAATTTTAAAACTCTGCCTTTAAGTTTACTCGCAGCTTTTTTGATCATAGTATTCTGTTGTCACTGTGAACTGCATGACAAAAATGTGAATATTCATTAATCAGAGAAAATAACAGCCTCCAGGTTGGGAATGCATGTGAAAAAAAAAATTACATTTAAATTCAAAAGTTTTAAGGCTGAACACTTATCTGCGCAGTCTTTACAATGTCAGTCAAAATAAAGCCCTCACGGTTCTGTTTAGGTAATATATTCCTACTTTATCTCTAAATGAAGGTTTTGTCCCTCCAAGTGGGAGTTTCTCAATGGATTTTTCATTAAAACCCCTGCAAGATTCAGAGAGCTTCCCAGACCTCATGACTGCTCCCAGAGAACCTGTGAGGTTAGAAACAATTAACTTGAATGAATCAACTGATGCCACAGATCATTATGAAACATGAGCATTAAATTCAGACAGTTAGTATAACAAACACGTTCGCTCTCTCTCTGCTCTACTCGATCCCTTTTGCTTCCACACACACACACACACACACACACACACACACACACACACACACACACACACACACACACAAAACGGTGCCCTAATCCTTCCAATGTGTAAGTTATCACTCTACTGTAAATGTCAGGTTAGACAGCATACACTCATGAATGATGGATATATGGCACGTCCTAGTTTGCCACGGTTTCGTCCCTAGGCAGCATTACAGAACAGCCTATTTCCCCGATCCAGGGCTTAGTGTTTGCAGCTATCACGCATTCTCAACACTCCCACCTGCGCTTGCATAACAACTACCTAAGCAGCCCAGCAAGCCGGCAAGCTGAGAGAAAGTTTCAGTAGCACTGCCTTGTAGTAGAGCAGCAAAAAAAAGCTTAAGGGGAAATAAAAAAAAAAAAAAAAATATATATATATATATATATATATATATATATATATATATATATATATATATATATATTAGAAAGTATTATGTTTTTTCATGCACATGTGAAGATATTTTCATTTTGAGCCAGCATTGCACGCCCACCCAGCAAATGTACTTTTTTCCCATGCACAAGATTGGAGGATATTACTTCTATCCTTTTCCAGGCGGAAGCGACTGCTCATGCGAGCTTCTGTTGCTTGCCTGCTGTCTGCAAAATTTCGATGAAAACAATTTTCCCCGCTTGAGGCCATCAGCTGAGAAGAGAGGCAAATTACCACAAGTGGCCAGTTAAAACGCCTTGCACTCTGCATGCAGAGAAACTCAATGGACTACTTTCTTTCTTTTCAATGGCATAAATCAACACGGGATGGGGGAATTTGCTTTCAAAATTAGGGAAAAATCAAATTGTCAACATAGAAATAAAGCTTTACAATGATTTTTTTTTAGCAAAATACACACATCAAACAATAGCATGGCATATTTTATAAAACCTGCATATATTAAAAAGTTACACTTTTTTCAAGTTTCCGTTAAAACTAATAACTCATCCATCATATAATCTCACATTAGCATCTGTCAACACTTTGATAACGCAGATGTGATGAACATGCACCTTATAAAGAAACACTTTTCCAAGATGCCACTTCTGTAACAGAGCACTCTCGTTATGTGCAGTCATAAAACAGCCAAGGAGTTCATTAATTTTGATGGTTAATCTGCAGTCTCATTAATTGGCTTTGGTTAATTTCGTGGCCATGTCGTGTGTAATTACCTGTCGGTATGCGAAACACTTTTATATACTTTAATCAGGTTACAGATTATGATTGCACAGGGATGTACTGTACAGTGTGTGTGTTCTTGTCTTAAACAACTTCAGCAGTGCACATATTGGAGGTATGCCTTATTGAATTAACCTGATTTATAATGCATGCCCATCACTAAGTTCCAAGACCTGGAATGGGTGTGTCAGCTAGGGGAGACTTCCAAATGTGCAGTGCTGGGGTTGGTCCTCAAAGATTGACAAGCACTGCTGTACAGTGTCTCCATGAGATAGAGAGAGATAAAAGAAAATAGGAGAGCTAACATAGAGCTTGCTGACACATCTCACATACAGTGAGCACGATGCACTTATTTTGATGGAATGACTGTTAAATGAGTCTGCATATACTGTGATTTATCCTTAAACACACTATTTATACACCATCTTCCTTTAAAACTCTAATTACAGCAAATTGATTGCAATGTTAAATGCACTCCCCGATGTTCACTTGGCGTTTTAAGGCTGTTTGGAGACACAGCAACTTAAAAGAAGCGCTCTTTACCTTGTGCTGAAGCCAGATGTAGAAGCACCAACAGCAATATTACAATCCAACAGGGTCTCATTCTCGCTTTACCCGAATTCCCAAACATTGCCAGAGCAGCAGATGGAGAGATACAGAACGCGTTTGTCCGGCACGCAGGGTACATGTTGCTCCTCACAGTCCAGCCACAGTTGTGCGCGTAATTTTCTGAAGTATCTCGGGCGCGTCTTTGCGCATGAAACGAGCTCTTGTTCGATTCAGTAAGACACTAATCCTTCACATTAATATACGCGTGATAGTACTGATCTCAGTTGTAAGTGTGAGTTTGTTTATGTTCAAACTTTGCGCGCACAATTCTACGACTCCAAAGCACGGCAATATTGATTTTTCAGTGAGACTTTTTGTTCATTCATCCACTGTCTCTGCGCTCATGCGTTCACTTTGATCGATAAATACATTCCCAATCCAGAGCGCAAGCGCCTCTAGTTAATAAACTGTTGATAACGATCCTTTGAACGTGATTAGACGGATGATGGTTCACTCATAAACAATAACGCTGTTATTCTCCTTGAGCCAATGAACCGAAAGTTCGTCTCAGTTACTAGCGCGCGGCTGTTTGTTATCCCCAAGACGAGTCTTTCAGCATTGAAGAACCTCCCGTTCAGTGAGTCCGCCCAGATGCAGAATGAGCTTCATTCGGCATGAGTAACTTTCCAAGTCCCGTTTTAGTGCGCCGTGGTGCTGTTTGGTCCAGTCGAACCATGCTGCGCGTAAAGCTCCGTTGTGTACGAGGATGAGAGACGCTGTTCGTGAGAGATCAAACTGTCATCGCCGAATGCCGCCCAAGAACCGGCCCGTTGCGCTGAAGATCTTCAGCATCATATGAGCAGCGGATCGGAGAGAGCGGTGCGCGCGGAGGGGGCTGATGCACGGTGCCACCGCGCGGTGAGCTCCAATAAGACACGCAGCGAGAGAGGCGAGTGCGATGGAATGAACGCGTGCGAAAACAAATCAACAGTTATTCTGAAGGGATGAACGGCCATGAGAACATTTTAACATTATCTCCAACATTAGGCTATAAAGAACAGAAGTAGACTAACACTGCTCTCTCTTTCTCTCTCCAAGCTGCTTGTTTGCGCACGTGTTTGCGGGCTGGAAGTGATGAGCGTCGATATTTAATTGGCTGGATTGAATCGACACGACCTTTGGCGACTCGTGGAATAAACTAATACTGTCAATTCGTGACACATTACAGTATCTTTGATTTCCCAAACGTATATGTTTAACCTGCTGTATAGGTCACATTTGACCCTTGTGCTTGTTTATTTTAGCCCATGAGCTATTAAAACGAATGACGAAATCTATATAATTTAATAAATTACACATTACATTGTATTGTATTAAACTTCTGCTGCTATAGTATCTCAACCCTAAAGTAACCTTGTAATAATTGAAAAACAATTATTGTTATACATTATTTGTATTGTCATATTAATTATTGCTAACTTCCGGTCACAGATCCATCCATCCATCCATCCATCCATCCATCCATCCATCCATCCATCCATCCATCTATCTACACACTCAAAATTACATTTGCTGTTTGTTTAAACTACATATTTAAAATGAGCTGAAACAATAGAATTATTGAGTTTTTTTTGCGAAAACTTAATTGCTTTTTGTTCAATTCACTTAATTTAGTAAAAACTAATAAGTTAACTTAATTCCTTGTTGTCCCACTTTATTCTATCTATCTATCTATCTATCTATCTATCTATCTATCTATCTATCTATCTATCTATCTATCTATCTATCTATCTATCTATCTATCTATCTATCTATCTATCTATCTATCTATCTATCTATCTATCTATCTATCTGTCTGTCTGTCTGTCTGTCTGTCTGTCTGTCTGTCTGTCTGTCTGTCTGTCTGTCTGTCTGTCTATCTATGTCATCTGACTGTCTGCGTACCTTTCCCTTTTCCTCTTTCTGTGCATCTGTTAAGCCATCTGTGTGCTTGTATCTGTCCACCAGTCAGTCTATTGTTTCTTTATTTTTTTTCTCCCAACATTTTATTCACATCTATTCCCATCAGTCCTTTCATACAAATAAGAATTGTGATGATTGTAAATTGACATTTAATCAAATTTATTATTATTATTATTATTTTTGTATTGTGGCATTGCTAAAATCATTGGCTTCTTGTGATTAATCTTTTTTGTTTGCAGTTTTCTGGATGAATAATACATAAATGCTAATTATTATTATTATTATTATTATTATTATTATTATTATTATTATTAAATCTAATTACAAACACAAAAGAGCCAAACAATCTACCTCAAAACGGGCTGGCTTACAAAATACACTCAGCTGAATTGACAGTTGACATTTTGACTGAAATAATTGATCTTCCTATTGCAGGATGGGCAATGCAAAGCAACTGTGTTAAGAGTGAAGGAATGGCAATGCATGCACTAAATGTATTTACTGAGTGAATGAGTGAGTGAGTGTGTGAATATATGACTATTTAACTTCATACAGACAGAGGGACACACAAACAAATGTAGAAATTAATGAATTAACTGACACAATGTATTGAATGAATGAACAGACTTAATGTATTGAATGAATGAATAAATAAATGAATGAACAAATGAATGAACTGACTAAATGTATTGGATGGATGGATGGATGATGGATGGATGAACGAACAGAGAAATGAATAAGTGAACTGACTCAATATATTGAATAAATGAATGAATGAATGAATGAAGTGACTTAATGCATTGAATGCATTTATTGAATGAGTGGATGGATGGATGGATGGATGGATGGATGGATGGATGGATGAATGGATGAATTGATGGACAGAAGGAGGAAAAAATGAATGAACTGAGTAAATGTATTAAATTAATTAATGAATTAATTATTGGATGAATGGATGGATGGATGAACAGAGTAATGAATATATTGCATGAATATATTGAATGAATGAATGAATAAACTGACTAAATGCATGGAATGAATGGATGAATGGATGAATGGATGGATGAATGAATGAATGAATGAATGAATGAACGAACGAACGAACGAACGAACGAACGAACGAACGAACGAACGAACGAACGAATGAATGAATGAATGAATGAATGAACGAACGAACGAATGAACAAACGAACGAACGAACAAACAAACAAACAAACTAACTAACTAACTAACTAGCTAAATGTATTGAAGGAATGTGTTAAATGAGTAAATGGATGAATGGACGGATGGATGAAAAAATGAACTGGCTAAATGTATAGAAGGAATGTATTACATGAATAAATGAATGAATGGATGAAGTAATGGATGGATGGACAAATGGACAGACAGAGGAATGAATAAGTGAACTGACTAAATGTTTTAAATGAATGCATTGAATGTATTAAATGAATGAACAAACTGACTAAATGTATTAGATGGATGAATATATGGATGGATGGATGGATGGAATGGACGGACAAAGGATTGAATGAACTGACTAAATGTATTGAATGGATGGATGGTAGATGGATGGATTGGATGGACAGAGGAATTAATTAATGAAATGACTAAATCTATTGAAGGGATGGATGGATGGACAGATGAATGAATGAATGAATGAATGAATGAATGAATGAATAAATGAAATGGCTAAATATATTGAATATATGTATTGAAAGAATGAAAGAACTGACTAAATGGGATAGATGGATGAATGAACTGACAAAATGTATTGGATTAATGAATGAATGAATGAATGAATGAATGGATTGATGGATGAACTGACAAAATGTATTGAATTAATGAATAAACTGACTAAATTTATTGAATGAATGAATGCATGAATGAGTGAATGAATGAATGAATAAATAATTGAATGCATGAATGAATGAATGAATGAATGAATGAATGAATGAATGAATGAATGAATGAATGAATGAATGAAAAAAATTGTATCTCATAAGTCTATCAGTTCATAGACTTTCTTGCAATTCTGAGAATGTTAAGCTTCAAATTGTAAGATACAAATGTGTAAATGTTAAAATTGATCAGATGTTAATGCATGGGCAGATGTTCGCTAGCTGTCCATCCATCCATCCATGAGAGAAATGTAATAATGTTTTGTTAAAAAAAGAACATTATCTAAAATTTTCCCTGTGGTTTTGAAAATGATCTTGCGGTGTATTACAAGAAGAAAAAAAAATCTCCTAACGTCATATTACTCAGAGCACATTTCACATTTCTCAGTACAGAAAAAGAAATATTTTAAAGACATTCTTTAAAAGAGAACATAACACAGTGATTTGTACATCAGTCAACTGATTCATTTGGGAATCTTGAGAGCAGGTCTGAGTCTTAAACCTCTGATCCAAACAGAAACCCAGCATGCAGCAAAACACACACACCTACACACATGCTCAGGGTTAGTATGCATAACAAACACACAGACACACACACATTCACAAATGTACACTAACGTAAACATATGCACATCTATATGTAGGGATTTGGTGTAGGATTTATAGAGCGGAGGTCAGATCGTAGAACAAGCCAACATCAGACTACTTTACAGGTCTGATTTCTCCAGCGAAGCCTGTTCGCCCACACACCCAACAAACACACAAACATGCTTCAAAGACTATTGATCTTCTCTGGCCTGAGGGAAAAACAACTTCCACATCAAGCAGCACTCCTTTGGGTTAATCATACATGTCAGAGGGCCAAAGCTAATCTGTGAATAAACCTGTAATGCACTTTTTAGGGCCAGGTAGAGGCAGATGCGATTCCAGGGTTTTCATGTCAGGGGACTATATACAGTGCTCAGCTATATAAGTACACCCCTCACAAATATACAGTTTTATATTTGTGCATATACATTAAATTAGTCAGTCCTGAAGCCAAATCTGGAGTTTTTCTAATAAAATAACTTATGCTAAAAGTCCAAAAGCTAGCACAAACAAATTCATATGTTACAGAAAAATATTAAATACAAATTTTAAGTGAAGTTTATTTATAAACTAATTTCGAGAGGATCACATGCTTATGATTGCTTGCAGCCGGCAATCTAGGAGTTTGAGCTCGAGATCTACCTGAGCTCAAACCCTCCCTGTTGCCTTGCAAACGGGAGGGAGCCCCGGGCTCGATGATCTTATGAGCTCAGGGCTCTCTCCCGGGACAGCATGCCAAACAAGCTTTATAATCAATCATCAGCTAAATGTGATCTCTTGAAAAAGAAAAAGAGGAAAAAAAAAACAAAAGCTTGAAATTTTGTGGGTTGTTATTTATTTATTTATCTTTGCAATATTTTGCTTGAATTTAATTGTATTATCTTTCAATTTCTGAATTAGTTTGATTACCAAATATTATTTTGATAAACATATATGTTTAATATATTTA